ACACGGCATTGTTACGGAGGGGGTCATTTTTTGGTTTCTTTTCATTTTTTTTTTTTTTTTTTTTTTTAAACTATACATTTTGTTTCCAAGCAAGCAGGCTGCATTACACCGATACCTAAAATCCCCCCTGAATAGAAACAGCCCCTTGATTTGTAATTCTATTGCTTGAGTAGATTCGAGCAGTTCAAAGTTCTCGGTGAATCCAGTTCACAGACACTGTACACGTGTTGTACAATATTTTGGAGGCATTGGTAGTTTTAAAATAGAATATACAAGTCTTTTCACAAAATCCTAAAAAAGAAATTGTGTACGTATATATATGTGTGTGTGTGTGTGTGTGTGTGTGTGTGTGTGTACACACACATATATACATATATATATACACACACACACACACACACACACACACACACATATACATATACATACATACTGGGCTACTGATGAAGCACAAGTAGTTTTATATTAAAAGAAAAAAAAAAAAAATCAAGAAAACCTAAAAAGGTCAATTATTTCATCTACTGATCACGAAACGATGCAGTTTATGAAAGACTGCTGAGCATCATCTGCTAACAAGTATGGTCAGTATCTTCCATACTCATGCTGCTTCGCCTGCTACTCGTCTTTGAAGCGCCAGGTGACACCGAAGAAAGTAGTGGGTCGGTTACGCCTACGGGGGAGAGAGTGTCGTCCATCAAGATATCTTCCAGTTTGGATCCCATTTTTGTGGGAACGTTGTAGGCGTTGCTAGAGTCAGTCACATTTCCTAAGTTATCGCTGAAAGTGATGGTACCGTCAGTAAGATCAAGGGTAGTAGTGCAAGAAAGATCTGTGCGACGCTGTACGATATCCGGGTTGCAGTTGTCGATAACAGATTCTTGTTTGATGGCCCGATTTACCATGTCAGGCGAGCAAAGGCCGGTAGATGGAACCAGGGAAAGTCCATGTGCTCGAGCCTGCATCTCAAGCTCCTAGGAAGAAGAAAACACAGATACAAATAAGATAGCCCTGAATATAGAGACCCAGCAAAATATTGGGCAATGCTGATATATAGGATTGATTTCCAATGGATGAACACAACATCATCCCAGCAGTTCCCTTATCACCAAGGAAAAACCACCTGCAGCAAGATATTGTCTCATTTCACTCAAGATCACTATTTCAATAAAGCTCTTTTAACGCCCTAAAAGGAGTGGTTTCCTTTCCAGGCCCTTTGACCTTCTCCCAGGTATCTAGCCTGTGCCAAAAGGCATTCACATGCTATACTATTAAGACCTGCAGCACATCTGCAAGCCAACCATGAATTAAAGTTCTCAACAGATACCCGGATCGAGGGGGGGCTAAAATAATCAGGGCAAAGCTTTACTATGATGTGTTACGATGCCAGCACCACAAGGCCGTCTCACATTATTATAACAACTTACTTCAGGCTTTAAGTATTAAAGATGCCAACATATAGACAGATATGCAAGCAGTGAGACTCAAACTCCCCCTTTTTTGAGGTTAATTAAGTATTCCTTTGGCCTATAAATCCACCAATTTGTGGTACAAAAACCGCAGCGAGGGGCCACTACTAGACTACAATTCACTCTAATGAGATCAGCCATTGTCATGGGCAGCTGGGGTCAGATCCCATATTCAGACTCTATATAGCCTTGTGGGAAGAATGAGATGGATAAGTGAAGACCACAAGTAGTAATTTGTTTATTCCTTAAAGAAAAAAGAGAAAAAAAAATATGTTTCTCTCCATTAATAGAAATTTAAATACTGAGCTATAAAGAACGTAAAATTCTCTCTAACAATATGGAGCCTGGCCTATACTCCTTAGGTGCATTTCTATTACTTGGAAAAAAAAATAAAGGACAAGAAGAATTCTCCTGTTTTATTTTACTGTCCATTGCTTGGTTTTATCTATTTTTGAATCATCATATACCATGTACTGTAAACCATGTATAAATTGCATCAATTGGTAGAACAGATCATCTTACTTTTATCTAATTTTATACTTATGGCTAAAAGCATAATGTTACTGATCATTTTTATTGTTCACTTTACTGTATTGGTTTAGCAAAAGCAGTAAATAAACCATTACTGCTACGTATTGTTAGAATCAACACTATGCAGAAACAAACTCAGGGAAAAAACAGCGATGGTTGTGAAGTCCTGCTGTTCATCGCACATCTGGAGAAGAGCAGAGGTGTCTCTACAGGATCTTATTTTTTTTGGTGGGAAAACCTCTATGGTTTTCATCAGTGTCCTGCTTAATGTACTACCAATTTTTAAAATAATAAACCTATCTCCTCGATTTTAATCCAAAGTATGTAGTGGCACGTTGGAGGTGAGGGGTAGGGAGGGATGCGTTATGCCTAAAGAAAAAAAGGCATTTAAATATGAAAAAGAAAATGGTAGTGTTGAAGCAACGCTGTAGCCATGGCAGTTCAGGAAATACGCAAGAGTTGAGGGTTGTTTTCCCTGGGTGATATCTTTTATTGAACCAACTGTACAGTTTGGAGAGACTTTAGACAAGGTTTCAGGCACAAGGTACCCTTCCTCAGGTTGGAAACGCAGTTTGGGCTCATAACAGTTAAAACAAGAAAAAAAAAAAATGGACATATAGTGTTGGTGTAATACACACACCAAGTTCTGCCTGCACAGAGGACCTGAGCCAACCCCTGTCATGGTCAATGGAAGAGGCATCCTGGATGCACCCAGCACGTGGCTCCACAGACACGTCTGTGCTGCCATGTACTGCAGGTTCATTTGCACTCAGTGCTGCAAGGAAGCAGCTCAGAGGGGTTTTTTGACCCTTGACTATCCAGGAATCAAAAAAAAACAGTAGGGGAAAAAAAAAAAAAAAAAAAGTCGAGTGGCACATGCGGTGTGGCCATGCAAAGATGGAGCCTGCCCAGCAGGAGCTGTGCTCTGCTGCCAGCCAGGCTCCACACAGCAGGAGCAATGCAGCTCTAGCCCCAGGATCCCAAGTAAGACTGGTGGTTGTTATTTCCTTAGCTTGAAAACAAGAAAGTTTTGTAAGAGGACATCAAAGAACCAAAAGGAAAAGCAGAAACCCCCAGGGGTCAAAAGCAGAAAAATTAAAAGAGGACTTGCTGCTCTTTCTATTTTGATAAAGATTGCACTGTATTATGTAGGGGTCCAAACCAACCCGAGAGGAAAGCATCTCCAGGTTATTAGCTTCTGGCTGTTATTTGGGCTTGTGGGAGGGTGTGCTATTTAAACTATTCTGACTCACCTGGGATCAAGCATTGATGGAGAGTGTGAAAGGAGAGGAGAGAAACTGTTAGACTTATGTCAAGGCTGGGACAGATCAAACCGCTAGGCATCATGCCTTCCTGTGCTCTCATTTGAGCATCCCGAGGCTGTTCAGCAAAACAACTAATGCACTTAAATGAAAGCAGAGTCAAACCCAACATGTATACCTCGCTGTTAAGGATGTTTGCTGCTGTGCTCGGGTATCCGACCTGTCACTGAAGAAAACCAAGCCAGGCACATTTTCTTTGTCCCTTGACCCCCCCCCCGCTACATCAATGTGCTCATTAATGAGACTTGTGGTGAGACCTGTAGAGCTGGGGGCATTGGGTTACCCCTCACCAACTTCTCCTTGAGTTGAGGACTTAGGCCATTAGGACTCTGGATGCAGATCATGTAGACGGAGCATCCTGTCCTCTGGAAAAGTCAGCTAGAAAGCAGGGCAGAGAACTCAACAAGGTGTACCTGCAGAGTGTCTCTTTAAATGGAGGAGAACAAGCTGCCCAGCTCTGCAGACTCCAGGCTTCAGAGGGGAAACACAGCCCAGGTCCTTGGATACAGGAGCTGTCAGCATTCATGACTCCTACTTCGGTCTTGCTACAATGGCCCTAGTGATCGGCAGCCATTAGGAGGGTCTCCTTACAGCACCAGATAGAGGGGACACCAGACAGAGGAGATGTCCAAGGGGTTAGAGACAGCTGACAATGGCACTTTGCAGTACACTATGCACACGAGCCATGCATCTTAAATCAATCATTCAGAACGTATTCATCAGCAAACCTGTATTCTGAGCAAGAGGTGCCTGTTGGCATGTTCCAATTTCTTCTGCCTGTTTTCAAGTTCTTTTGTGCGCTGCTGTTCTCTTTGCAGTTTGCGGATATAATCCACCGACGCTTTCAAAATAGTTCCCTTATTCCAGCGCATGTCCCTTTAAGAAAAGAAAAGAAAAAAAAAGCCATGAGCCTCTTTGCAAAGGGACACAGATTACAAGAGGGGGTGCACCACACTCCCAATATTAGAGCAAGGCTCTTGACAGCTTTTAATAAAAAATAAAAAGCCTTTTGCAATAATGCACTAGGGGGAGCTAGAAGGTCACTCATTCCCAAGCAGAGCGCTTTAGAGATTTCATTATTCCAGCATTACCAAAGGACACGGAGCTGTGTGCGAGTTTGCTCCCCACCAGTTTCTCATGTGGAATGGCGTGCCCATTAGTGCCCAATTATAGCATCAGTAAAAAGACTGCTTAACTAAGAGCACAACACTTCTAGCAAGCGTCATGTCCTCCGAATAACCTGTGCTCCTGGTGACACCTTGGACCTTCTAACCACAGGATTAAACTCACATTTCCTAAGGACCTGTGTTGCAGGGACGTGCTGCAAGGGGAGAAAAGTCTAGGAGGCTTTAGCAAAATTCCTGTGGCCTCAATAATATAGCCAGGTGGGGTATTAGAGTGACCAATTCCACCAAGCCAGTGCATTATGGTGATCTATTGATTAGGGAAGACAGTCAGATCTACTACCAGCTGTGACACAGTACCCATGTCCTGAAGAAGAGCACAACAGTCCTTTTGCAAGTAAGTTGTCCCATGGTATTTTACCCTGACTTGTTTCACACTAGAAACAGAAGTTGCCCTAGGAAATATCCCCTGCTCTCAGTGATGGCACCGATTACACTGGGAGTGGGGGGTGGATCTAGCCCCAATATTAATAGCTATCAAGCTATTATAATATGTACACAATGGCAAATCTCAGAACCAACCCGATGGTACAGAATACCACAGTCATCTGATGATGCCATTGGGAAGGGTAGGAAATGTGTGATTTGCCCTACATCACACAAGTGGAACAAGAATTAACAGAACTGGAAGAAAGTGTTTTGGCACACTTCTGAAGCTGTTAGTAAGAAGAGAGACTGGCTTTTCATAAGAACTTCAGTGCATTGATATAATATTAATCACCACAGCAAAATCACTTTGTCTATATATCTAACCACTTGATAAATGCCTATCAAGATAATGCACAAAACAGGTATGTACTTTATGAATTACTGCATGGCACTGAGAAGGTTGTTATATCTCCCATCCTTTGCAGCAGTTCCATCCTTTATGACAAAGGATGTAAATGGGCTGCCTCTACATTATCACATCTCTGCCAAGAATGTATTTATACCAGTAACAGAACAAAACATGAACTGACAGTGTTTCACCACTTTGTGATCGTTTATAAAAGAAAGCCCATCTGCAATCTTCCCTTTTTGGTACCAGCATGAATGGACAGAGCCTCAGTATCCGTGACACTGGGCTGCTAATGGAGAACTAAATGAGATATCCAAGCACAAATGACTAGAAATCTGTATTCCTTACTTGGTTACAGCTCCCTCTCACTTGTATTGGATGTGGGGGGGGAGGGTATCAGAATAAGGATTTATGTTCCTGCGCTTAATAGGATTCATGAGGCATCAGCCAAGTCAGCTCAGTGGTCAAGTAAATGTCACATTCAGGTATCTCCAGTGGGGACCAAAGAACTGTCCATTCATGCAACCAAACAATTGGTAAGCGGAAGCCTTCCTTCCCTTTATTTTTTGGGGTTTGTTTTTGGTTTGGGGGGGGTTGGGGGGGTGGCGCGGTGGTCCTTAAAAGGACTAAGCACCTAGAAGCATCTCTCACCCCATTCTCATTAAAAAGCTAGGGGACTGTGGCATCGACACCTACACAGTCAAATGGGTCACTGACTGGCTGGAGGGCCGCACCCAGAGAGTGGTGGTGGATGGGTCATTTTCGACCTGGAGGGATGTGGGCAGTGGGGTCCCCCAGGGCTTGGTCCTCGGACCCGCGCTGTTCAACATCTGCATCAGTGACTTGGACGAGGGGGTAAAAAGCACCCTATTCAAATTTGCTGATGACACAAAGATGTGGGGGGATGTGGGCACGCTAGAAGGGAGGAGTAGGCTGCAATTGGACCTAGACAGGTTACAGGGGTGGGCAGATGAGAACAGGATGGGTTTCAACACTGACAAGTGCAAGGTACTGCACCTGGGGAGGAAGAACCAGCAGCATCCCTACAGGCTGGGGAACTCCCCTCTCGTCAGCGCAGAGGCAGAAAAGGATCTTGGAGTCATTAGTCATGCCAAAATGAACACGGGCCGACAGTGTGGAGATGCGGTCAGGAAGGCCAACCATACCTTGTCATGCATCCACAGATGCATCTCGAGCAGGTCCAAGGAGGTGATCCTCCCCCTGTGAGGCACTTGCCAGGCCACAGTTGGAGTACTGCGTCCAGTTCTGGGTGCCGCACTTCAGGAGAGATGTGGGCAGCATTGAGACGGTTCAGAGGAGGGCCACCCGCATGATCAGGGGGCAGCAGGGCAGGCCCTACGAGGAAAGGCTAAGGGACCTGAACCTGTTCAGCCTCCACAAGAGAAGGCTGGGGGGGGGAATCTAGTGGCCTGTTACAAACTAGTCAGAGGGGATCAGCAGGTTTTGGGGGAGTCCCTGTTCCCCCAAGCACTACCAGGAGTGACTAGAAATAACAGTCACAAGCTGGCAGAGGGTAGATTCAGACTAGACATCAGGAGGCGCTACTTCACTGTCAGAGCGGCTAGGATCTGGAACCAAGTTCCAAGAGAAGTGGTGCTGGCTCCTACCCTGGGGGTCTTTAAGAGGAGGTTAGACGAATACCTCGCTGGGGTCATTTCACCCCAGTACTTTTTCCTGCCATGGCAGGGGGTCGGACTTAATGATCTGCTCAGGTCCCTTCCAGCCCTACCAACTATGAAACACTATTTTCCATCTAGAATATAGTCAGGCTCATCCAGTGTTCTGCTGAAAAGTGGTTAGTACCAGCAACTGCAGAGGACAACAAAACTCCTGTGATCAACAATAACATACTAACATCAGGAGGAGAAAATTCTCCTACCCCAAGCAGTTACTGCCTCAAATGCCCATGAAACAAATGGAAACATTAACATGAGCTTCAGGGGCACTAAATCAGCCTTTAGGGATATGCTTATGTCCAGAAGCAGGGAGTTTCCTATAGAGCCGTGCGAAGCTTCAGTAACCGATTCAATTTGGAAGAGATTTGGCCCGATTCGGGTTCAGAGTTTCAGCTCCCAAATCGAATCAGACCCATTAGAAGGTCTGAATTGAATCAGAAGCCTCCCAATAGATTTGGAAGCCTCCGAATCAATTCAAAGATTTGGGCAGTCCCTACTCGCCGCCACAGGGAGCTGGACCATGCCAGTAAGTAGGGGGCAGGGGGCTGGAGGAGGGGACCCTGGGGGGACCCCCACCCAGCCCCTCCTCCTGCCCACTCCAGCAACCCCAGCATCCCAGCACTTAAAAAAAAAGCCCTGTGCTCACCGGCTGCAGCTCCAGCAGTCACCCAGAGCCCACCAGCGCTCAGCCTCAGTGGCCCCAGCTTCTGAACAGCATGTGGAGCACTGCGGCACCCTGCCGAACATCTCTGCACTCACGCGATGCAACAGCGGCCATGCAGGTGCCAGGCTGGGACTAATCCCCACTACCCTGCGCGGCACAAGGGGCGATTGCCGTTGCTGCAACTGGTGAGTGCAGGGCTTTTTTTCTTTTTTTTTTTTAAATTGCCTGGATGCTGGGCCAGGCAGGGCAGCCGTGGGTGGGGATCTGGCGTAGCGGGGCCCCACTCACCACCACCATGCCCCCGCTGCCAACACTGCTGCCACCACCTGTTTGTTTCAGAGGAGATTTGGCGGCCAAATCTCCGAATCCAAAAATCAGTCAAATAAAATTGGAACAGTGATTTAAATCACTGAATCAAATCACTGTCCCTCCGAATTGTCCAAATCCAAAGCCAAATCGAATACTTGCTGCTTCACACCAGCCTAGTTTCCTATCCTTTCCACTTTCACTCTGGTGGAAGTAAAAAAAAAAAAAGAGAAAGTTGCTAAAAAAGCTACAGACCATTTAACAAATACTTCTCTTTGCCCACAGGCCTGGCATGCCTGTGGCAAGTTAGCAAAAGATACAGAGAACAGAGATAAAGTTATGGACTCTTTCTCTTTTCTGACGGGGAAGTAGCGAGTTTCCCTGAAGATGCATCACCTTTCCATTGTCCTGCTGCCCTGAAGACCACTCAACGTGGTGGCATTTATTAACTTCTCTCATTCGATAACAAACTCAGATAAAAACAAAAAAGAGACTCTCTTTTGCGAAGACAGATTATTAAATAAATAGCTGATCGGTAGGGCTAAATTATGTTTCAGACCATGACTACAATACATCCAATGCTTCACACCTACTGCTATTTGCAATAAAATGTTACCATACTCACGGGTCATTTGACTTGGGTATCAAAGTGCCTAGTTCTTTAATGCGGTCATTAATATTAAATCTTCTTCTTCTTTCAACTTTAGGAAAACAAACAAATATCAGTCAGCAATACATGAATGCTTTCTGCTTTAAAACCACTACTTAAGCTATTAAACATTCCTGGGATAGAAGGTAAATAATATATATCTGCTTTTCACACAGATAAGTGAGACAGAGACAACGCATGACTCATCCAGAGTAGTGTCAAATTTGTCATGCCCTTTCGTTTTCCACAACTAACTTAAGAGGGCTGGTCTCATGCTCCAATTATGCTGTCGTGCTCTGAAATCTTGCTCCAGACGGCATTACGTTTCATTTAGAGTTGCTACTGAAACCAACAGGAAAGTCTGGTCCATAAGTAAAGGGATGAGATAGTTTCATCTTTTTAGAAAGACCCTAGAGCAAGCAGTCCTTTAGAATTTGCATGAGTAAATGCATCATTACTTTAAGGGAAGAGATTGATGAGCCCATCTCTTAAAAGTTTAAACGACAAGGTTATTTTCTTGTAAAACCTAGTATGGCATTTACTGTTAAGAACCCACTAGCCCCATTCTAATTTTCAGTTATGGTACTTAAATTGCAACTCCTTTGAATTGTGCACATGTTCTAACACACTTGAAATACTTTTTTAAAAAATCAATTAATAAACCTATCAGAATTAGGAAAAAAGGTTGAATTCCAAGTTGGTTTAAGCCATCAGTATAACAGAGTTCAGGGGAGCTTGTATGGGGATATAATAACATTAAGTAGTATTGAATGTGTACTCTTAAGGCTTCACAAGGCCCAACTTCCCAAATACCTTTAAAAATAAAAATATTATTAAATTCAATTCTTAATTAGCCATGTACCCTCATAATCACTGACCTACCAATTAAAATGCTGAGGGAGCGATTGTTAGCTGAGCAGAATCAACTTACTTAAATTGTGATTGTCCTTCTTTTGCCTCTCTTTAGCCAATGCCCTTGCTTCCGACTCTGTAGGAAAAATACATGCTGAGCATGTGAATGAAGTAATTAGAATGAAGGAAATGTAGGAAACACAAAATTTCAGTTTCATAAACAGCAGGAACATGACAAATAACTGACAAGTACCCATCCTGTACACCGGGGGGGTCCCAAACTGTGGTACGCATACCCCTGGGAGTACGCAAGACATGCTGGAGAAATTATATAATGGTGGATTTAATGTTGATTATAATCATTCGAATTTAAGGGGTTAAAATATAAAACATATGCTGGTAGGGGTACATGGACAGGTGGTAAAGCTGGAAAGGACTATGCAATAAGAAAGAGTTTGGGAACTTTTGCTGTACACTACAGACAAAGCATTCTCTAATAATGCAAAATTTCCTGGAGTGGATCTCCACAGCTCATCCCCATCATGCAAAACAAAGGTAAGGGTTTGAAATCCCCCAAGGCAGTTTGTCACAGATATCTGGGCAACCTGCTTCCACCCCTTCCCCACCCCAAATCTGCATTTCAGGCTTCTGTGGCAATAAAAGTAAATGTACTCTGTGTTGCCTGGGCACATGATGGAAACACTGTGCGGGGCAAGTAGGAGGCATCTGTACCACTGGAAATAACTTTTCCCTGAGTATGGGAATGCATCTGGGACAGATGCAAGTGTTTGTATCTAGCAAAAAAAAAATCTGCAATTGGAGAGAAATAATACAACTCCACGCAGAAAGAAAACAAAGGATACAGGTGTTGCTGCCACAGTGCAAGGCTTCTTTTAAAAATCTGCTTGTATTATACAGTGCTTGCTGACCCTAGCCTGCCCACACAAACAGCCATAGCCCTTGCCAACGAGAGGCGATGTCATACTTCCAAGTCCTCACATTGTTAAGAAAACTGGCAATATTGTGCAATGACAAATCTTGTCCACTATAAGAGCCACAAACTTGGCACTCCCCCACCCCCTTGCAACTTCTCTGGAGCACCATTAAGACAGCTCAAGTCACTATTATGCCTATTGTGAGAGCAATGTCTAGTAGGTCTAACCCAGAAAGGAGCTATGCAAGGAGTCCTTCAAAGTGCACACTTCCACCCCACAGGTTTGATTGTGACACAGATTTCATGCATAAAATTTTCTTGACAACTCTCCATAAATTTACAGACAGTCCATTAAGAAAAAGGGAAGAGGAGGGGGAAGGCGCCAGAGCTAAAAACGCCTGTCGATAAAAAAAAACAGAACTATTTTTTAAAATAACCAAGAAGCCTGAGCTTCTTGGTATGAGACCCTGCCAGGATGGGGAGAGTGGGGCTGGCAGGGGTAAGGCTGGGAAAAACAGCACAGGTGCAGGGTACAGTTGGGAATGAGTAGGGAACCCCAAGGGTGGAGGCAGCAGGGTGTAAAGCCAATGCTGCAGACAAAGTAAAAATATATTAAAAGTTGACATTCATTCCCTAAATTTGAATCTGACCTTGCTGTCATCCAGGGCCTGGCAGAAGAGTCACATTTACATGAGGTAAAACAGTCAGTTAAAAAAAAAAAAAAAAAAAAAAAAAAAACAATTGGTTGTCAGTAAAAAAATTCTTGGGTTGGCAACCCTGGTTAGAATAATGCCCTTGTCTATCACAAGAGAAGCCGATTACAGACCTAACAATTGAATCATTTTGCTTTGTGTAAAAATCACACGTTGCATGCTGTATTCTGTAAGCTAACAGGCCTATTAAAGCGCAGGGCAAACAAAAGAGTAAGGCATCTGGACATTTTCTTTTTTCCAACCTATTTTTAAAAGTCATCTTAATAAAACAAAGCCTTGACATTATTCTTTCAAGTGTTATTTACCTGTCAGCTCCCTTTTTATATTGGGAAGATTAGCAGGACAAGAGTTGCTGATGTTTAGCCCTGGAGGCATACTTGTATGGTTGCCATACAGGTCAATCAAATTGCCAGATACAGGTAACTGAAACAGAAAAAACAACAAAGGAAGAAACAGAAGATCATTTGCCATGATCCATACGAGAGACTTCATACAGAAGCACAAAGCCAACATCTGCTAAAAAAAATCTGTTCTTTTCTCCACCTTACAATTAACATTGGGGAAAGTCCCTCAAGCCTAGAGCTATACAAAGAATTACTACACTGAGACAATTCTGCAGTTCTCTCTCAGAAGGCTTGACCCCATGGAAAGGAAACTATACAGATAATGTAAAACTTGGTGGGGAAAAAAAATGGGAGAAAAATAGCCTAAGAAATTTGGTCTCTAAACTACAAAAGAATATTGGGATGTTGGAACATTTAATTACTACAATCCTGACGTGTCCTGTCCTGTTTGTTGCAAGAAAAACTGATTATGCTTTCCCACCACCACCAAAAAGGGAGTCCCAAAAGTCAAGATGCAACCACTAGAGGGAGCCCCAAACTCTTCCATGAGCATTCAAGCATGGAGTTATTAGTAAATTAGACTTGCAGCAGACAGACCTGTTTAAACCAGGTACATTTTTTCCATTTGATCTGATATGTACTGCATAGGGAAGCAGTCTGCATACCTAGTTCTTGTTCCAACATCTAAAAAAAAAACCACACACAAGGTGGTGGTGGCAGATTTCCACATATTTTTAGCATCGGGTTTCTTAATGACTAATCCATTAAATTATTCGTACTCATTTACGTAGGTGTGTAAAAGCAAAATAGATGTGTACAGACACACCAGGGTAATATTCCAATGAGATTTATCAAGACAATTCCTTAACACTCTTGTATCATGCTGAATACAGCGCTACCCACACCTTTTTAATTTTTCATACTGAGTTTACTGAGAAAGCAGTTATAAGCTCTCTCACTTGTTTAACTCAGTGGTGCTGAGTAAGTTCTGATTACCGCTGTTGTGACACTTCATAAGCCTTTATCTTAACATTCAGCTATTTTTATAAACTCCTTATGGCCCCAGATTCTGCAGATCTGTGCATTTACTCAAGCCTGAGCATTGAATTCAGTGGGGCTACTTCCAGTGCACGAAGCAAAAAACACACTTAAGTTTTGCGTGGCTGAGAACTCGGAGCGCTCCTCTATTGTGCAGTGCAAAGCCAGCCTCCAAAACAGGCCCACTCTGCAGACCTCAGGTACCATAATTCAGGAAGCGGACTACTAGCTGCAAGAAGCCTCTTATCCTGGATGAGAGGGGCAAACAATAGAATAATGAAAACCAAGTGGGAAGAGGGAGAATATTATCTAGGACTGTCCCAAATTCAGAGCATGTAGCAGACCAGGTCGCCGAATTCAGGATGAAGCAGGATGCCCAGCTCTCCAGTTCCCTTATGCCTGGTGAGCAGTAGGATATGAAGAGGATTCTTCCATGGTCTCAGCTGCACTTTACAGGCTGGTCTCTGGATTAGTTGCATACAGCAATGTAAAACACTAACAGCAATCACTAATTATATCTCGTTACCACTGTAAGAGAATCATCTTCCTTCTTTTGACCCAGTGAGTAACTGAATCAACCAACCACCACCATCACCTTATAATCCCTAGAATCAAGCCTTGTTCCTGAATTTCAGAGCTAGACTGGCAATCTGTACAACTGGAACATGAAAAGGAAGGGCTGTAGTACCGTATTCGCCATTTGCAGGGCCGGATCCATCAGGCCAAGGATTTCTTCACTGTAACTCGATTCCAAACTAATTATATCATCAATAACATCATCCATCTGGACAGACAAAAAGGAATGAGAAGTTTGTATCATTTTGCTGTTTTTAAGCAAACCCCAGGTTGCATTCTACAAAAACAGGCCCTGCACTGCCCTGGCGTCCCTCAGCCTTTTGCCAAGGATGTGGGTCTCTGCTCGTGCACCGGGGACCATCTCACATTTATGAAGCATCTATTCCAGTCCCTGGGCACTAGTCACCACTTCCCCACACCCGGGAGCAGCCAAGACTGCCTGCACTCAAAATCAGCACCACTCCCGAATCAGCAGGAGTCAGCATCCGGCAGCATGCAACCTTTGCTCCCCGCATGCTGCATCCACTCAACTCAACACACGCAAAAGGTGGCGGCTTTGAAGTCCAAGGCAGCTGTGCCACAGCATGTGGCTGAGAAGGTGCGCGGGAATCAGTGTCCGATCTGCAGAAGGGTTTACAATGTGCAACGCCCTAACTTCCAGGTGCGTTATCAGCTGGTGAAAGCAACAACCCTCAGTTGGGTGCTAAGGCTCCCTATGCAATGAATGCAGAGCATCATGCATCCTTAGCAAGACAGTAAGAAATGCCAGGGAGAGGAACGAGGCTTAAGCCTTCTTCCTTCCAGGGGTCCAGGCATCTAACTCCAGGCTGAAAGGAAGCACCTCTCTCAGCTCATCTGCTGAACTGCTTCATTTTTACAACATGCTTAAATATTTATTGGAGTGGGGACTGCAACTTGCAGGCAAGTGTCCTACTAAAATATAGCATTCCACTCACTCTCCACCCAATAAAGGTTGTTCTATGTTTCCTGCCTATGCAAGGGGTCGGACTCGATGATCTATTGAGGTCCCTTCTGACCCTAGCATCTATGAATCTATGAAAAAGAGAATCGCAGGCAACCCACACAGAGTACCTTGTAGCCTGGTGGTTAAGGTGGCCCTCTGAGAAGTTGGAGCATGTGGGCTCACATTCCCCAGCTTGGCTCTCCCATATCCCAAATGAGCGCTCTAGTTACTACCATAGTGGTTAACAGAGGGCACCTGTACCACCATTTAGTGGCAGGCCCGATCTAGTGAGCAAAGTCTGAAAATATTCACTGACTAGGGCTCTGCAGGAACTTTAGCTGGGAGACTGCTCTCAAATCAGAGACCCTAGCAAGTTTAGGCACCTTTGAGTTGCATGGTAGCTGAGCAAAGATTTTGAGAATCCGTGGCACCTAAAATACTGGACGTGCACAACCACGTGTCACTGCCAATACCAAATGCTTTTATGGACCTAAGCCACTGATCGAGACACTGGACAGCTTTGCACCTCTGTGCTGTTCAAAATAAATCCCCTGTAGCCACTTCAGAGAGCTTGTTCTTGCTTGCCATTTTGTTCCTAGGGCACCTGGGCAAGATGAGATTTAAATTGCAGCTGTATAGCTGACATTCCCACAAGCTGAATTGTATAAAACCACCACATCAATAACAACAATGCAAAGTGATGGCTCATGCATTGTAGAGCACGGTCGTGCAAGTCTAGTCAAGCACATATGGCACTCAAGACTAGTTTCTGCACAGGTAACAAGGATGCGAAACTTTATGAAAGTTTTGAGGGCTTCTCTGAACTTTCAGTCTGGGCCCTCTTCCATCTCCTCCCTCTGACTTGCTGTCCTCACCTTTCCTTCCCCCTTTTATCCTATAAAACTCTGTGCCTCACTTCCTTTCCCATCACTGCTGCCAAGAATTGTAATGGTTGCCTCCATCTCTACTGGCATCTAACTGGTTCACTCCCCCAACATTTCTATACAGCATTTCCTATGGGTGACTCACACAAGATGGCATGAATTGAAAGAGTAGAAGATCAAAGAGAAATGCCATAAAGAGACACATTGGCAACTATAGGACATATCGTTGATGGAAATAGCAAATCAGCTCCTCAGCCCTCAAGCAGCAGCCTCCACTCCTAAGGAAATATTAAAAACTTTTCTCGTTGTACCCTTTGCAGTTGTATGGATGTCATATTTAAAATGAGCATCGTTCATTAGACTAGGACATGCTACATACTAAAAAGGGGGAAGCCATAGCTGAAACAAGACAGGTCTCCTTTCCCCCCCAATGTCCTATGACGAGAACAATATTTTGGAGCTGTCTAACAGATAATCTTCCTAGGACTTCTTTAGGAACCAAGCATTTGTTGCAGTGCAGCCATAGAGCTGGGTTAAAATGTTTTGGTTCTTTTACTAAAATTGGAACAAGGATTAAACTCTCAGGTGCTGCTATGAGAAATTACCAAGAGGAAGATTTGGTTTCTGTATCTTAATTCTTTTACTTTTACATTTGAATGAATTATGGGGCAAATTTGCATTTTCAAATGATCCCAAAGAATCAGAGCATCTCTTTATAAAGGGTCTCGTGCTCCCAAGTCCTGTGTCATCCAGTACCTGCATGCATGATGTTCGCGAGTGCGTGTTCAGAGCCGGGCACTCACTCTCTAACCTGCTTTGCTCTTCAAATTTATATAATCCCTGTAAAAATAAAAAGGAAAAAAAAAGCAAAGCATGGACCTGAGTTGATAGCATAACCTCTCTGTCAGAAGAGAGCGCAAGTGAGCCAGTGCCATGCACACACATCCCTGATGACACAGCAATGTGAAGCTCTAAATCCCTAAAGGAAAAGCAGAGTTTGGGCGAGATGCTGATTATGGGGCAGGTCTATTTAAGTTCCCTTTGTTTTGAAGCACTGAAACAGTGCGGAGCAAAAGAAAGAACAAACAGTTCTGCTTTCTTGGCTTGCATAAAAATAACTCTAGACCTGAAGTCAAGTCTGAAAAGACAGCCATTTTTTTTTTTTCCATCCTAAAAAGGAGAACAGAATAAATGTCCATACATTGGCCTTTGGCACACCAACATTTACATGTGTGCACACACTCTGGATGCAGATGTGAGACTATCCAATTATAATCATTGGCATCAGCACTCCCCAGTCATGGGAATTGTGGGCTGCGCATGTGAACGCATGGTCCTGAGAGCTGCAAGGGGCATGCAAGTGAAATTCTGAATGTGTGTTAATGGGGGCTGCAACCAAAATGGCAACCAGCAATATTTTAAAAATTTATCAAAAAAAGTGTCTACTTGGGAGTCCTACTCAAGTGACAGATCTACTTAACTTTATTTTTCTGCAAAGAAAAAAATCCTCACAATGCTTTGTGGTTTCTGATTTTTTCTATTTATTCTGCTTTGCTTTTTATACTATGAATGAGCCACGAAAACATTATTCCAGAAAGTTACAGCATACAAAAATGGCTTTGTACTCTCCAAAGGTCAATTACCCGCTCCTTTTTGTGCTGACCAGGCACAGAAAAGCCTTTAAGACGTGTAAGCGGACTAAAAGTAGCTCAGAGAAACTCGGCTAAACTAGGACACAGATTCTTTCCACCCCAAATATTTTATATAAAACTTTATGCACATCACTGGCAACTATGGATTCAAGCCAGGACTTCAGAATAGAAAATAAACTTAAGATCAAGAGTGAATCTCATGTTTCGTAAGAGGCAAACAATTACTATCATAATAGGCTGCGTTACCTCTTTTTCACAGTTGGAGTTAAGCGTGAGCATAGCCATCGGACTGTTGGGTGCGCTGCTTCCCGTTCCAGATGGCATGACATGATCACCAGGCTGATTTGGGCAGGGCAAGCTCAGAGCTTGGTTGGCATGTTTATTTGCAAGAGTGGTAGAAAGGTACTGCTTCACCTGCTGCCGCTGGGCTTGCTGAATGTGGTACTTGGTTGGGTTTTCAAGGTGAGTCTGCACCTGCAAAACACACGGTAAAAAAAAAAAAAAAGAACAACAGTTTATTGCTTTCTGAAGTGGTTGCATGCACATGCACATGGTGCCAGATACTGTTTAGTGAATTCCTTGACGGGTATAAGTCTGTGCAGCTCTGCTGAAGTTTCACTACCTTATAATAGCTGAAGACCTGATCAGATAATTTTTTTTTTTTTTTTTGCTTACATTTGAGTCACTGCAGTTTGCAAGGCTGTGGCAGGACTCATAACCTGATTGTTTTTGAAAGCCTTAGTTTTACTTTCAAAACCATACTACTTATGGTCGCTCTGCTGTGGTACACGATCCAATGAATCCTATTAAAAATGTTAACATGCTTTAATCCCTGGAAAAGATGAGCATTGTATGAAATTGAGTAAATTATTAAAGTTTTCTTCTGCAGACAAAAACATTCAAACCATAAGTACTCCTGGTCTAATTTGTGTGCAACTAAAATAACCTTGTTAAGGCATCTCCGCCTGGTTAAAATGCTAATTGTAAGTGGCGGACACAAAGAAAAAAAATCTTTAAGAGCTTAATAGATTTTTAAAAATTCAATGCATGCATTAATCGTGTTTGTTAGCAGTATATTTTCTATTTAAACCTGCTTTATTAATACTACAGTTTTTTTTGTGGAAAAGAGAAAAATAAATCCACACCAACTGCACATACGCTACCATAAAAGCAGACAATCAAGGAAAATCAACATTTTAAAATGGCAAATTTTCACCACTTCTGAACACAAAGTTTACCTAACACTGAACGCTACTGCCTTTATGCCATACTGAAATGCAATACCCTACAGAGGAGCTCATGAGTTTCAAACAGTTAAACGCTATCCCGTGTACCCAGACCAGGTAAAATATGACATGGTATGCTGATAAAACAACTTTGCATATGCGGTAAATATTTTTAAAACAGATAACAAAATAACTCACCTGATAATGATTATACTCAAGCATTTCCAGCATACTATTTTTATGTTCAAAACTTAACTAAGGAACCGATTATCTTTTATTTTTTGCTATTCCAGCTCAAAGACTCGCGCACACAAGCATCATAAACAGGATACCCCAGTACAGCACAAGAAACTTTACTACGACCGTCCACTTATAATAACCTAAGCTAATTAGTTACGCATGTAGAGAAACAAACAGTTCACACAAGGGACTCTTCTTGGAAGCAAGTTCAGCCCTAAATATTGGTATGATTTTTTTCCCCAGCTTTGACGTCATGCTTTTTCATAAACATAAAAGGATCTTTTAAGTGATGGGCTATCAAAGTCAGGATTGACAGTTAGCTCAAGGCCAGTTTGCTATTCATCTTTCGTTCCAGTCATACTACTAGACAATGGTATTTTTCTTTAGCAGTAAGGTTACAAATTTGTAAGTCCAGAGTAAAAAAAAGCAGAAACTGCACAAAAAGTGCTACAAGTTGCATGCACTCTTCATGGTCAGTGGCATGCGCTGAACAGAAGTACATGGCTGCCCAGTCCTAGTCTAGGCTTCCAGGTTTATGCATCTCCACATCTGCCTTATGCACCCAATGGTGTGGAAGGAATGAAGCCAACCAGCACCAGCTACCCCTCTTCTAGGCTTAATTTTCCAAAGTCTGCCATGTTCAGATGTCCTCATGTCCCTTCAGCCATTACTGTAGTATGCAATGTACTTCGATCTTGGCCCCTCGTGCTGGAGTTGCCAAAGAAACATGTGCTTAGGTAGCCTAGTGAATGCATTCTGGTAAGATGCCCCAAACATGTCCCTGTCCTTCAGCATAAACTATTGCTGGAGAAAGCTGCATCTCTTTATCAGCCCATTTCACCTAAAATATTCTACACAGGCATGTACAACGAGAGCTGCTCAACCTACGTTGGATGGACTTCTTAGCCCAGGACTCTACACACATGGAATGAGGGACAAAGTCATTGGCTGGAACAAGGGCAGATGCATCTTCACCAAAACACTGCCCTAATGCTTTGTATTGGGGCTGGCGTAGATATGTCTCACTTTGAGGCCCAGGAAGTCTTTTTATATGAAGTCTGAGTATTGCCAAAGGAATCAGTTCTGCATTGATGACTCTCCTGGTTAGGTTACACCTGGGTTTCTTACTTCCCGACTTGCACGCTCTTGGGACTGTGATGGGTAAAGGGTAAATTCTACCTGAAATATACTGCCAGTACAAAGGAGAGCTGCAGTTGGGGTCCAAGGATGGAGAGGGGTTAAAGTGACCATTCTGAATACAGAGCGAGTGAAAAGTTTATGATGTTGATCATTTGTGAGAGTTTTATACCCCCTTTTTCTGTGGGGTTAAGGAGAGGGGTTAGGACCCTTTCCGTCCAATTTCATGAGGCACCTCCTCCAACGCATCCATTTAGCACAGAGCTGCTGGTGCTCAGTGCACAACGCTGGAGAAGGACCTGGTATCCGAGGCAAAGTGATGCTTGTACTGTGTATCTGGCAACTCCACTTTGGTTGTACCGTACTTAGAAAAAGGTCCTACCGGGAGATCATGGGACAGCAGGGCCTTGGGGAAGGACTTTGGTCTTTGACTGGGAACAGTGGTGCAATGTATGGCTTGCTTTTGGATTCAGAGCAAATTGGCAGGATTTACGGATGTCCAGGCTGCCGATTCCTCTTGGGGATGGTAGAGGAGCTTGACAGATCTGGAGACAACTTCTCCAAATCAGTTCTGTGCTAGGATCTGTGTAGACCTCTTCAAAAAAATCCATTTTTCAGATCTGCCGCCTTGCTTTCAGGGGTAACACACAAGAAGTGTTGCATACGTCCATATCCTCAGAGCAGCTCGCGTGCTGAGTGGGCGCTGCTGACATTGCTGCATTACACAATAGGCAAATCTTGACTCCTGGAGACTACTTCACTCTTTAGGCTTGTGTATGAAGGGTGAAGGCAGAATGCAGAGACCCAATTAATACCCCGAATCCAAATTTCCTTTGAACCAACTACCACCAAGGACATGAAGGGGTGTTTAATGCTCATCCGGGAATTTCCTGCCTGTCACCTCAAAGAAACTTGGTGGAAAGTTAAACCAAGTCTATCAATCAGCAGAATAAAATCACTACCATTTTATTTGGACATGGCCTAGCTGAAGTTTACATGCCGCACTTTTATGTAAAAGAGTACAATAAGAATTAAGAGAGACTGATTCATGGTCAATGTGGACAGGAAATAAACACACATCTCTTGCCATTAGCTAATGACTGAAGCATATACTGTGTTGATTAATGGATTTCAGGACAGATGTTCCAATTCTGACCGAAACAAGGGACTCTACTATTACAAGAATATAAAACTTTGCCTGGTCCCCCCCAACTTTTACATGCCTAATAAAACAGGATAATTTAGTAGCATTTTGAGCAATTGGAGGAGACAAAACCATGCCTGGTCTTGCGTTATTTTTACTAGGCATAGAAAATGAATTAGAGTGTTTTGAAGTATTGGGTGGAAATGGACAATTTCACTCTTCCAGTTACAACAGACTGGATTTGTTAAGCCCAACAGCTAACGTGGTCGGGATGTCTGAATGACTTGAAAAAGTATTGACACTAAGGGTGCCCAAACTCGGTTTAAAGAAAGAAAACGTGCCTCTCGCAATATTCGCAGGCCCCCAAACAGATTTACAAAAGTTATTTTTTCCTAATTAGTTCCCTGAAGAATTGTAGCAGCTCCATATTTAAAAGCTCTAATTTGAGATTAGTTATGGGATTGGCTGGGGGTGGAAGTTGGGCAGGTAACTCTTGCTTTCCCTAAGATAAATTGGCCTCATAAGCAAGTTCCAACTTCATATGTTCACATAAGGCTTATTAGAAACTTGGTGCCAAAAACTGCTGAATATTGCATACAGATTGATAGTCATCATCTACAAAAATTGTTACATGGTTTAGGATTGAAAGACATTACAGGACCCCATGCATGACAGAAACTTAAGTCTACAGTTGTATGCTAATACCATCCAAATCATGCAATTAGTCATGCTGACTACTGGGGGTCCTGCAGCCAAGGTTGTAGCTGTAACAATCACTGCCCTAATAGCTGGGACAAAACAATAGTAGGTTTGGTTTCAGTAAAGGATTAACTACTACCGGAGCTAACAGTTGGAGCAAGCTGTTACCCTCTGTGGAAGATATGATGTTTTAAACATTACCATTAAAGAAAAGCCTGTGCGTTATTGAGGAGCAGGGACCGAACAGATTAAAAGTTCAGGGAACGTACTAATCCAATGAGAGGAAGCTTAAAACAAACAGAGAGAGAAAGCATTTGTTCTAAGTATATTGCCCTAGGACTTGCAGCTTATAATTACAAATAAATACTTTTGGGGTCAGTTTTCCCAGCTCAATAGCAGTTCTTGTTGCTCAAAAAGCAAAATGTCATGGGATTTTGAAGAAAGGTTAACATACTGTATCACTTTAAAATTAACGGGACCAAACGGTAAACCACAAAACCCCACAAATGGAAAGACTTTACTCAAGTTGAAGATTTAGTTATGCCCAGATCGCTAGACTATGGGCCAAGAGGAAAAGCCATCCGGAAACAGGATTTCAGGGTTTTAGCCACTTGAAAAGGTTTTTATTACTTTTCAGATTGATGACCTAAAAGAGACAGCATCAGAGTTTGGGAACAAGACCAGTCAGACAACAGCAAGTTAAATAACCTCATCTGCTTAACATGAAGGAGAGCTAAAAATCCAACTACAGACACCAAGCAAGTGCAGGAAAAATCCTTCTGGAACATTTCCTTGTTGCTTAATTCTCCTACTAATGAAAAACCATCGAAGAGATCCCAAGTACTAAGGCCAGGGCAGGTACACGTGAGCAACACCACTGCAGCACCAACAAAATCAGTAACCATCTTCTGGGACCACTTCAAAAGGCAAAAGTTCCCTCGTTTTGTTGCATCGCATCGCTTACACAGAAGAGTAGGGAGGTTGTTAGCCATGTTAGCCTAAAGTCAGGAGGTGGGAAGGCAAAGTGG